AATATCTTTCAAGCACTTTGTAATGTCAACAGCACAGTTCACCACAGGACAGCAACTTTTCATATTATTAGTGTTGATACATATGCTTTACGATGGTGACTCTCAACACCCAGACCACTCAAGCAACACTTAAATTTTCTGAAGCTCTTTTAAAAACTACAGATGGATTAGATAAATAGATGGATGAGAGAGAGAGAGAGAGATAGGTCAAGATAGAGACATTTTATGATAGATACATAACAGAGATAACAGAGAGACAGAAATGATGAGAAAGATGGCAGATGGATGGATGGACAGACAGATACAGAACACAAAGGGAGATGAGATAGACGGCAGATGAACGGATGGACAGACAGATACAGGACACAGATGACAGAGAGAGGTGATGATGACATAGACAGCAGAGAAATACATCACACATACACACACAGCTGTCCAAGATGACTCGGACTCATGGTGACCCCGTGTACAACAGAACGAATGGTGGCCAGGTCCCATGTCATCCTCGTGATTGCTGGCACGCTTGAGTCCATCCTGTGGCTGCTGTACTAATCCGTCTCACCGATGGCCTCCCTTGCCCTTGCTGGCCTCCGTTTCACCAAGCACAGTGCCCTCCTCCGGCAATCGATTCCTTCTGATGACATGTCCAGAGAAAGCCAGTGAGTGAGACAGGGTTCTGTCGGGACCCATGAGGCTCTCAATGACTGACTCTCAGGAGTGGATCACTAGGCCTTTCTGCCTAGTCTGTCTTCGTCTGGAAGCTCTGGTGACATCATGGCTGACCCTGCTGGTATCTGAAACACCAGTGCCATAGCTTCCAGCATCACAGCAACATGCAAGCCACCACAGTACGACACACTGACAAAGGTGTGATGGTTAAAAACTATGATGATGTGCTCAAATGACAACGTTGTCATTAATTCTCATGAAAGTAACAAACATCTCAACCAACAGTGGCTGTGCCTGCTTTCTCCTTGGTGTTCCCAAGAGCCAGGAAGGCAGGGAGATAAGAAGCTGCAAAGAGTTAAGAGTGGGGAGAGGGGCAGGTTCCAGTGGTGGCAGGAGTCAGCCCTGGCAGACAGATCCCCTGGAGCCCAGGAGCACCCAACCACTCTGTCCTCCTGCTCCCTGCCCAGCTGGCCTGCATTCTTCCTGCTCCTGCTCAGTGCTGCACCACCCCAACCCCACCGGCTCTTCCCCTCACCAACTCCACCCTCTCCCTGACCCCTGTCCCTTCCTGCTCTCACCTATCCCTAAGCCCCTCTACCCATTCCTGCTCATCCCACACCACCTTGTCCACTCTGTGTCCCTGAGCCTGAAGACTAACTGGGGGTCTGGGGAGAAGATCAATGTCCCCCCAAGCCAGGTGCTGCCCGTGCCACAGGATCTGCTAGGCAGGGCAGAGAGAGCTACCTGAGGAGGCAGGGACTCAGAGGGACAAGTCCCACCACTCAAGCCAGTGAGCTGATCACCCCTGTTCCTTGGGCCCCTGGGGACCTGGGTATACTCCAGTCACCCCTCTCCAGGGCCTAACCCACACTCCCTCAGAAACTGGAGCAAAGGGCTGCAGCTCCATCTCTCCATCACGTAGGCCTCCCAGAGTCCTGAGAGCCCCTTCTGTGTGAGGGCCACTTCCTAACCAGAAAACAAGAAACGATTCAAAAATGTTGAGCTTTTGCAACCATGGCCTTCCAGACACAGAACCCCGGGGCGCTTGCCAACCACAGGGTCCGCAGAAGCAGCCCCAGGCTCAGTCTTCTGCTTCCGTGAGCTCCCCATGCCCCACGCGGTGCCTTCCCCCTGCCCTTCTGCGCCCCCCAACTTGGACTCGCTTCTTCAAGTGCCTCTGCCCTCCAGCAGCAGCCTGCCCACTTTTCCTCTGGCCGGAGGCTTCCTCCACCAGGCACTTTCCCCTCTGGGGTTCACCAAGCCCAGTGCACCCCAAGTCAAGCCTCTGCTGTCCCCAACCACGTGGATGCACTCCACATCAACTTGGCCCTCCCAAAACCTCTTGCTCAGAGACCCGGGACTGGCTCTCTCATGGTCCCAGAAGCCCTCCACCCTTCAGGACCCAGCTCCACCACCTGCTCCTCTCATCAGAAGCCGTAGCCACCCAGGCCTCACCCTGACTCCACTTTCCTAGCTGGTGGCTCTGTGCCTGGTTCAGAGTACAAACAAAACACAAACCTCAAACCCCGAGCAGCTCAGCCACTGTGGACAACAGAGTGAGAAGCTCCAAACTACCAAATTTGAAAAGGTGCTGAGGCAGAGGCATCTAGCTCCTACTAGGGCAAGGCGGCAGGGTGTGTCCAGGCAGGAGGAAGGGGCATGGGGCACAGAGACAGGGTCAGGAGCCACCAGGTATGTGCAGGGGACCTGCAGCTGGCAGGGGCCAGGTCCACTTCAGGGGAACCTGGACAAGTTTTGTCCAAAGTTTTGTCTCACTCCGTGAGTGTCTCAATTCACAGACTGTCTGGCATCTATGAACAGAGGGTAGCAATGGAGACAACGCCCACCACCACCACCATCATCTGGGGACCCATGAGGCTGCAGGTGGGAAGCAGCAATGGGGCACAGCAGAGAGAGGAGCAAGACAGGGATGGGGCATGGGGCTCAGGAATGGTCAGAACAAGGGGCAGCAGCAATTTATGAGCAACTGGGTGCTGGAGGTAGGAGGTGACAGAGGTCATGGAGTGTGATGCGGCTTCTGGCCCAGGGATGCCATCTACTGAGCCAATGAGCAGGGAGAGAAGCGGCCCTCTGGAGTCTCAGGAGGACAGCCAGGAAGAAGCAGGCCGTGGAGCCTGGAGCTCAAGGACAGGGGCTAGGCTTACAGATAGATATGAAGTGGGGTCAGGGTGGGGACATGCGTGACTGGGTGGATGTCTGAGGGGTAGCGGCGAAGGCAGAGAGAGGCTGATGCTCCCAATATCCCCTGAAGCAGGCAACCGAGGCATGGTTTCCTTTCTTATAAATTTATTCCATAATAATATTATAATAATTATTATCAATAATAATAATAATAATATAAGAAACATAGATCTCTGTGGGATGTATCACAACGGCAGGGTCAGGAGGCCTCAGGCCAGAGCAGGGACCCCCGATGGGGCTCCATACAAAAGGAGGGGAAGCCCAACTGACCCTGGAAGTTAAAAACCCAAATGGAACGGAACCAAAAACCCACAGGTGAGTGAGACTGCGTGTGTTATGTGCCAGTCTGTTACGGTGACTGCTGTGTGTGTGACCTGGTCTATCCGTGACGGCTAACGGGCTGTGACTCTGTGTGCAGGGACTGGCTGGGGGGTGGGGAGGAAGGCGGGGACGTGTGCTCCAGGGCCAGCACAGACCGGCGCGCCGGGCCGCTGGGCTGTGAAAACGTCTGTTTTCTTTTTTTTTTTTAAAGTTTTTATTAAAAAAAGCTAGAAATACAAACAGAAACTTGTGAGTGACGTGGATGGAGCTGAGTCCAGACTCCAAACCCTAGGTTTAAAAACACCCCAGGGCCCCCCCATCCCACAGGTCATTGCTGAGTGTGAGGAGTCACAGTGAGGGGGGCTGGGCGCCCTCGGGGTCCTGCCTGACTCTGGGGGTCTTCTCCGACCCCCAGAAGCCCGAGGGGGACTGCTTCCAAGGGGCCCTTGGGGACCACCCCCAGGCAGCAGGGCTTCCCAGAGGAGCCCAGCTCAGACTGGAGCAGGTCCCAGAAGGGCAGGCTGGGCAAACGCAGTTCCCAGTTGCGGGATGGCCTCTCGACTTTCTTTGGAAGAGAGAGGGGCTGCTTTCACAGTCGCGCACCCCTGCACGCGCTCCCGCACTCACCCTAGCACAAACACTTGCGCACGTACCCCGCACGCACTCCAACATACGCACCCCGCGCGCAACCTGCGCGCGTACCCACGCACGCACACCAGCGCGCGAACCCCGGCGCGAAGCCCCGCACGTACTCATGCACACAGTCGGGCGCACGCACCCCCGCGCACGCTTCCGCAGCCACACTACGCAGTCCCAGGGCTGCCCCTCAAAGCCACTCGCCAATCCGGTACACACAGGGTCTCACGCGCCCAGTCGCACTCAAAGTTGCACACACGCACGGCAGGAACAGGAGACGCTGGGGTCCCAGGCTGGGAGGCTTCTCTGCTGTAGTTGCCTAAGAGCTTCGGGGCAAGGCTGGACCTCCCACCCGTGGGGAGAGATCCTGTGAGGGAGATGGCTGGGGGCGGAGGGCCTGGGCCCTGCGGCCCTCCCCCAGGGCGTCGGTCTCCCGGCCGCCCCGACCCAGCAGGACCCGGCTGCCAGCCGCCCCTCCCCCGCGCAGCACCTGAAGGGTCGGTGGGGACACTACAGCTCAGCGGGGGGAGGGGCCGAGCCCGGGCCCCAAGTCGGGCCACTAGGCCCCTGGCCAACCCCAGACCAGCTGGAGCGCTCCCCGCCCCCGTGTGGGGTCGCAGTGGCAGTGAGGGGCCCGGCTCGCGGCGGGACCCAGCCGGAGATGGAAGACTTGGCGGCCGCAGCGGGACGGAGAGGCTGGAGGGGGCAGGGGAGGGGCGGGGAGGGGCAGCGATTACGGACAGATACTCGTTCCTTTTCTTGTCCAAATATAGAGTGGATTAAGATATGCAAAACGGGGGGCTCCATGGCCCCCAACCGAGAACCCCAACGTCTTCCCCCCTCCCCCCAGTCACCAAGGCGTGTCCTGACCTCGCATGCTGGACTAGGTCCCCCGGCGGAAGAACGGCCACCGGGGGCTGAGCCCGAGGGCTCGGGCCGGTTCGGTGCCTCCCGTGGCCCCCAGCCCCCTGGACCCTCCCCCTCCTGACCGTGTGCGGGATGGGGCTCGGTGGCCGGGGTGGGGCACGAAGCAATGTACAGGGCAAGTCTCCGAGCAACAGCAAACAGACGATTCATGCAACATTCCTGGCCCGGCGCCGTCGTGGGGGGCGGGCCGAGCCCGCGGCCCGGGGTGGGGGGCCCTGCCGGCAGGGCGCGGCGGGGTGTGGGCGTCAGCTGCCGTCCAGTTGCTTGAGCGCGCGCTCGATGTTCATGCGGTGGCCCACGCGCGTGACGCCCAGCTCCACGAAATCGTCCTTGGTGAGGGCCGGCAGGTGCGCACCCTCGATCTCGTGGTCCTCGAAGCGGTCGCGGTGCTCGCCCAGGTGGATGCTCTCCAGCCAGTCGCCCACGTCAAACTTGCTCCAGAGTTGCAGCGGCTTCTGCTGGAAGGGCCGGCGCGGGCCGGGGGCGCTGGCGCCGGGTGCGGGCGAGGGCAGCGGCGAGGGCGAGGGCGAGCGG